ACCCTCTTTCTTACATTACACTCATACATTACATGCATTCATACATTCATGCATCATATCTCATACATTCATACATACACACATGCATTGTGTTCGTCTTGTCCATATCTCTCGATGTAGCTTGGTTCGAGCCTCTTAAGGTCCTCGGGTAGAAGGCTCAGGTTGTAGTCATGTACTCCCGACTGATACATTCAGGGGGAGATTGTACGGGGAAGAGCGTTCCTTGCCCGATCCAGTCGGGAGGGGAAGCGCCTTACCGACTGATGGAGTATATGGGCCTGGACCCCAGGACCCACACACTCAGAAGAATAAGAGGCACACCTGTCACCCAGTGAGGCCTCCATCGACCAGATGGCCCCCCATCGGCCAGAAAGATATCAACTCAGAACATCGTCCGGAAGCCAGGAGAACCGGGTGTCCCCGTCGGGCGGGGCTCCGTCGGCCATGGCCGCGTCGGCCACAAAAGGCTCCTAGAACCGAATTTCGTACATAGTTATTTCTACACATCTTGTACTCGCCCCAATAGTGGCCCAATTGTAAATGTCCCTCCCAAGCCCAAGACTTGGGAGCCCAGCCCTAATTTCCTCTATAAATACTCCCCTTGGGGGTAGTTGTAGGGGGTTCACAAATCATTAATACAAAGCAATTATATCACCTCTCTCTCTAGCTCTCACTTCTCTCTAGGAGTTAATACTCCATCACCGATAGATTAGGTTCAGAGGGTAGACACCCACTCATGTAGTAGGATTGCTTGAAGACACAGGTCCAAGGAAGACAAAGGAAGAGCGCGAGCAAGAGTATACTTTCTCAAGCAGATTCGCATGCTCACTACTCAAGAAACTGTGGGACTTGTGTTGAGATATATTAGCTCGGACTACCACTCTTCAGGAGCCCAAGACATTATTTAGCACGGAACCCGATCAGTGAGGCCCGTTTCGGCCATCTGGCCCACCTTGGCCCAAGAGGCCCGTCTAGACCCGTTTGGCCCATTAGAGTGGAATGCCTCCTCCCCTTTCCCCTCCTCCCTCCATATGTAAGGATTTCTTTTTCTTCTCCTCCTGCTCTCTAAGTAGCTAGTTTAATACTTCATCGATGGGGGCTTGTACAATGTAATAGTGTGGAAAGTATTAATAAAAGTACAAAGCCTAATACTCCCGTGGTTTTCTTCCTTTCCCGATTTCCACGTAAAAACAGAGTGTTCATACCAATTTATATCTATATTTACTATATCGTGTTGGATTAAACTCAACAGATTTAAAAATTTCAAATTTCAGATAAAGTTAAATTTGAAACATACTAGTAAACTTTATCACCATATTTTGAAAAGATGATACAAGGATTAAGATGTATACTTATTGAAAAAACTTCACTCTTTTGAAAATAATCTCATTTTGTTCTTTAAAATCATCTTTTATTAGCTCACGTTGCCATCTAAAAATTTCAAATTTCAGATAGTTTGAGATTTGCAACATACAAACTAATTTGAATAATGTGATCTAATTGCGTTTACCAAACTACCCGCCCAACACCACATCTTATGGATAAATAAATTTAGAAAATCTACGCAATCTAGACATGTCAGAGACTTTATTATAATCATTCATCCAATAATTGTTATTATCAAATAGTTTTTGATTGATTTTATATCACCTAGTTATTTGATATATCCATGGCGATTTTTAGTTCTATATTATTATAAAAATCAACTTTATTGTTTTATATTAACTACAAAATGTTATATAGTTACAATTTTAAATATTGTATTATGTGCTAGTGAAAATAAATTTTATCAGTATATTTTGAATAAAAAGATATATAGAATAAAAATTCACTCTTTTATAAAAAATCAAATTCATTCTTTAAAAGCGCCCTTTATATATTGACTGAGATTATCGCATAAGAATTCCAAATTTGGTTAAGATTTGAAACATACGAGTAAGTATTTTCACCATATTTTGAATAAAATGATATATGGAATACTAAGCTTAATATAAAAACTTCATTCTTTAGGAAAAAAACGTTTTCATTCTTTAAAAGCATCTTTTATTAAACCAGGTGAGATTATCATATAAAAATTTCAAATTTCAGATAAGGTTGAGATTTGAAACGTACACCCTTGTGTGAAGAACGTGACATGCAGGTTGCGTTTACCAGACTGCTCACCTAACACCACATCTTCTTAATGAAATTTAGAAAATCTCTGATGTCCAAACGAGTCAGAGACGTTACGGTAAGGTTTACTCTCGGTTTTCAAACAGATTACGAAAATATTATTAACCAGATTACAAAAATATTATTAAATTATTAAACGAGTCAGAGACGTTGCAGTCAGTTTACTCTCGGTTTTCAACCAAATTACGAAAATATTATTAACTAGATTACGAAAATATTATTAAATTATTAAAATTTTAATTTAATGATTTTCCATAAATTCAGAACCTCCTTAGTAAAATAATTTAATGAAAGGTAAAATAATATTTATGTAGTTAAATAAGATAGATGCTATTTAAAAGAATAGCATACATGGATCGGTGGGTGTCCACTGATGCACCACGTTTATAACCTTTCATCCAATTTTTTTAATCAAATAGTTTTTTATTGATTTATATCACTTACTTGTTTAATCTACCAATGCAGATTTTTAGTTTTATAGGGAGTACTACGTATTAACTACATAATGTTAGTTAGTGATAATTTTTATTAACTATTAAATTTTTAAATTTCAGATAAAGTTATAGTTGAAACATACAAGTAAACTTTATCACCATATTTTGAAAAAATTGATATAAGGTTAAGATACATACTTATTGAAAAAACTTCACTCTTTTGAAAATAATCAAAAGAGTTTAGATTTTGTTCTTTAAAAACATCTTTTATCAGCTCACACTACCATCTAAAAATTTCAAATTTCAGATAGGTTTAGATTTGCAACATACAAACTGATTTGAATAACGTGACCTAATTGCATTTACCAAACTACCCACCCAACAACACATCTTATGGATAAAATTTATAAAATCTCCAGAATCTAGACATGTTAAAGACTTTATAACCTTTTATCCAATAATTTTTATTATCAAATAGTTTTTGATTGATTTTATATCACCTACTTATTTGATATACCCATGGCGATTTTTAGTTCTATATTACTTCCTTCGTCCCTTATTTAAGTTCCTAGTTTGACTTCACATATATTAAGGAAACAAATTAATGAGGGGTAAATTTTACTGTAGAGTATGTTGTTCTGACACTGCATGATACCGTTTGGCACTGTTTTGGCACTGTTTTTGCACCATTTAGGCACTGTTTTGGCACTGTTTTGCACTGTTTTGGTGTAAATTTGTTTGCCAAATAAGGAAGTGTGAACTTATTTGAGACATCCAAAAATGAAAGTGAGAACTTAAATAGGGAACGGAGAGAGTATTATAAAAATCAACTTTACTGATTTATATTAACTACAAAATGTTAAATTGTTAGAATTTTAAATATCGTATTATATGCTAGTGAAAAAAAAAATTATTAGTATATTTTGAATAAAATGATAAATAGAATAAAAATTCACTCTTTTGAAAAAAATCAAACTCGTTCTTTAAAAGCACCCTTTATCGACGAAGACTATTGCATATAAATTTCACATTTGGTTAAGATTTGAAACATACGCGTAAATATTTTTACCATATTTTGAATAAAATGATATATGGAATACTAAGCTTAATGAAAAAACTTCATTCTTTTGAAAAAAAAATCGATTTCGTTCTTTAAAAGCATCTTTTATTAAACCAGATGAGATTATCTTATAAAAATTTCAAATTTCAGATAAGGTTGAGATATGAAACGTACAACCTTGTGTGAACGACGTGACCTGGTTGCGTTTACCAGACCGCTCACCTAACACCGCATCTTCTTAATGAAATTTAGAAAATCTACGCAGTCCAAACGAGTCAGAGACGTTACGATCAGGTTTACTCTCGTTTTTCAACCAGATTACAAAAATATTATTAAAAAATTACGAAAATATTATTAAATTATTAAACGAGTCAGAGACGTTGTAGTCAGTTACTCTCGATTTTCAACCAGGTTACGAAAAATATTATTAACCAGATTACGAAAATATTATGAAACTATTAAAATTGTTATTTAATGATTTTCCATAAATTCAGACCCTCCTTTAGTAAAATAATAATATGTTATGTGACTATAATTAAATCGAATGAGAATTTAGGAGATTCTAAGGCTATCACCGATGCAAGAGGGTGAAATCCAAATTTGAGGTTTTCACCCCAAATTGAGCTCCAACCCAAGCCAAAATGAGTATAGCAAGGTCTTATAGTGGGTTGTGGAAACCCTTGGGGTGAGGATATAGACCCCAGATTGACTCCATGGGGTGCGCATAGAAGATAAAAATCCCAAATTTTTTAAAAATGGTATAACTTTTTTATTAATGATTCAATTTTTATAAATAATATATCAAAATTTATAACTTTTTACGATCTTTCATATGACACCAATAATATATATATATATATATAAAGTGAAAATAATTTGATGTTTTATCTGATGAAGATCTTTAGACTCAAAATTATTCTTCAAGTAGATCCAAATTTTAAAAACGATATCTCATGCATAATTTTTTTACATCTTTTGGTTATGTTTTTAAAATATAGGCCTGGAATAACAAAAAAAAATTAAACTCTAAATTTATTTATTTTTACATCGAAATGTTTGACTTTTTAAATTATAATTATTGGTAAAAATAAAATTGTCACATAAATGATGTAAAATAAAAAATGTAAGGATTTATGCATTTAATTATAAAAAAGTATGTGCTGAGTTAATATATTGACGATGTTGGATTGCATGAAAAAACTGAATTGATTAAGTGAATACTTATAAAGTGGTGGGAGATTAATTTATTGACGGGGTGGGTTTCGATTAGTCTAAGAGTATAAATAAAGAATGTGCTCCATTTTCAATACTCATCAACATAACAAAAAAGCAGAGGGTGTTCAGAAATCTATCTTCTAAGTTCTGATCATTGGTATCGGTTGTAGCAGAGCAACAAAAATCTGTGCTCTGTTTGGTTTTGTGATTTCTGTTCCTGATTTTGCGGCCAAAATGTATAAGACCAAGCTGCAAGAATTATGTCATCGGCTGGAGTTGCCACTGCCGGAATATACCGTCTCCCGAAAAGGCCCCGATCACAACGCTAAATTTCAGGCAATAGTCACGGTGAATGGAGTATCCTTTCACTCCACGCCAGACAAGTGTAAAACTATCAAGGAAGCTGAGAATCTGGCTGCTCATTATGCTTTTGAGTTCTTATCGCAGAATCAACCGCCGAAGGCTTATTACACGGAGCCTTCTCCTGCTCCTTCCACCTTAGATCCTGCGTTGACTGAACTTCATTCTCATCCGCCCGCAGATCCTGTCGTTCTTCAGAAAGTCACATGTCAGTTGAAATTTACTTTAATTTTGTTATTATTATTAGGATTATTTATTTATTATTTGGGGAAATTCGTATTATTAATTTATCATCAGGAGTCCGAACTATGGTGTTTTTGACTTTTTTTGGTTGTCTTGTCAATACTGTTGAATATGACATTGGTTTTTTACCCTTTCTGTTTTTTTTTATGCCGTTTTATTTTATTTTTTATTAATAAACAAAAATTTCACTTTCCACGTAATATACGAACACTTTCTTCTTTTACAGCTTCTCATCAGGATCCCCAAATGGTGGGCTCATACCAGACTCACGATCCATCAGGTTACTATGAATATACAATTATACACAGACGGGAGTAAAATTTATTGTGAATTATACAAGTATTGTTTTATTGGTTACAGATCAGAGTAATAATACTATAAATTTCGTGAAACTTTTCTTCCGTTTCAGATCCGTTGGCTGGGCCTCAACCAGTTCTGCCGCCGTCGCATCTGCTTCAGCAGACATTGATGGAAGATCCTTCATATCCGTCCAAAGCCTCTGCAGGTTTTTTAAATTTCATTTGTACTCGATATTCGAATTGAAGAATCACTTTACATGTGCTATTTAGTTTTCATTTCGAATGAGAATAGTTAGGAATGAATCAAATTATGATACACAGTTTCAGCTCTGGTCGATGTCCTCCAACCTCCACGACCCGTGGTTCAACAAATACCAATTCATGATCATTCATTTCAGCTGAAAATCTCGGAAGTTCACTTTGAAAAATATATTTAATAGACTGGTTGAAGATAAACTTTATATGTGCCGTTTTTATTTTACCTTTACTAGATGTGACTCAATTATTCATTGAAAAGCATGTGAGTATGGCAGGGGTGTACAAGGCAAAATTGTTAGAGTTATGTCGGAAGCACAGATGGAAACAGCCTGAGTACGTGACATCGAAGGAAGGTCCTGATCACATGCCTCGATTTACTGCCACTGTGGTTGTCAATGAGGTTGCTTACATCACTCCACACAATCAATGCCGTTCATCGAAAGAAGCAACAAACCTTGCCGCTTGGGTTGCCTTCAACCAATTAGCAAGCCTCGGCTTTTCATCAGCAGGTTATCTTTCATTCATTAATTACATTTTTCACAACAAAACATCCCAAGATGGAGGATAATGGGTTATGTTAATGGTTAACAAATATGTCAAAAGTGATCATCAATTAGACTATGTATTATTTTTGGTGGAAGAATGACTCAACAGGGCAAAAGATATGGGAGATATCAGTTTATAAACATGAAAAATTGAATCCCATGTAGGGACAATACTTCTAATTCCATTTAATAATTGATTCAAAATTGTTAAAGAATTATAAATCTTACTCCATTCATTCAAAAAGTCATGAGAGAGAAAAAAATCCTCAAGTTTAATTTAAATTTATAAGAAATTTAGCGCATAAAGACCATCAAATATATTTTGTACCACAATTTTTATGGGATAATTGAAAAAATCAAATCTGTATCAGGATGTCATTTTTTGTGTGCATGATTATTCAAAGAAGACCACAACCAAGCACCTGGTCTGAATGTAATAAACCCATTGGGTGGTGACTAAGATGGCACTCTAGAGGTCTTTTTTCATTCACCTACCTACCTCCACCCCTTTCTTAAATAGTTTTGAAGTACTTCGTAGGTGTCCTTTGAGGCTTTGAGCTTTGTCTAGGAGGCTTTGGCTCAAGGGTTTTCACAAATAATTTTTCATTTATGACAAACAATCCTGAACCTGATCCACATCTTTTTAGGACACTAATAAATAATAAGTATATAATAAGAGAACCAACTCATCCAAGTGCATGATAAATTAATGATATGAAGAGTTTGCACTTTACACTATAAATGCATTGAATGTGATATCTTCTGTAAATATGGAGTGGTCATTTGCTAGAATACGGATGACTTGCATAGTTGCATAGAGTGGTTAGAGTTCTAGAATTACTAGAAAGTTTACTTCTGGATTCTTAGGTTTAATTGTCAATTACTTGAAGATTTAATTACTGCCTAATTGGCTAATTCACATCTTTCACATTAAATGATTTCAAAAAAAAAGCAAATTTTAGATTATACATGTTCGAATTAAATGCTATCCAAGCTGAACTGTGAATTTCTTGTGACTATCTGTTTTGGGGTTGTATGTAATCTAAGTCTCTTGACACATTTCTTTTTTAAGTGATAGCTCCCTTCCCAGCTAATTGTTGAATTTTTTTCAATGAACTAACCTATTTCAGAAATCAAAACTAAGTGGAGGTTAGAGTTCCAGAATCACTAGAATGTTTACTTCTAGGCTCTTAGATTTACCTAAATCACTTGAACATTTAATTATTACCTAATCCACATCTTTCACATTTAATTATTTTAAAAAAGGAAAAATTTAGAGTATTGATATTTGAATTAAATGCTACTCAAGCTGAATTGTGAGCATATACCTAAGGATTACAAGTTTTGTAGTCTTGACTTCTGACTGATCTGGTATGAGTTGTACATAATCCAATGCATTTCTTTTTCAAGTGAGATCTCTTTACCCAGTTATTTGCTGATACTTTTCAATGAACTAACCTATTTCAGTAATTAGAACTATATCGAGTAGTTAAAGTTGTAGAATCACTCGAGCTTTTACTTCTAGACTTTTAGATTTAACTGTAAAATTATTGAACATTTAAGTAGTACCTAAACCAATTAAATCCACATCTTTCACATTTTTGGAGGGGTAGGGTAATAGTGTTTCATTGCTAAACAAATCCATTCTTTAAAATAATATGACATGGTTTTCGGTATAGTGGTATACACATTAGAGTAAATATATTTGGATTAAAAGATATCTAAGCTGAATTGTGTGTATATACCTAAGTAGTGTAAGTTTTGTAGTTTTGACTTCTGACTGCTCTGGTATGGGCTGTACGTAATCTGACACATGCTGTTTTTTAAGTGAGAGCTCTCTGCCCATCTACTTGTTAATGTTTTTCTCAATGAACTGACCTATTTGAGAAATTATATTTATGATCAGTTGTGAACTGCCAGCTAAACAGGCATGGACGTAAGTAAGTAGTGCCTCCTGCGGCAGGAGTCCTGCCTGAGGCTCTGGTATTACAGTAGTGTCTTATTTATAGTGTTCCCACCTGTGTAGTTGTGTGATATTAATCTTCTGAAACTGCGGTCTGTGTATATAATATCCATGAGCTGTTGAGCACCATCATGGATAATATTGGTTCTAAAACATCTTGGCCCACAAGTTATTTGCTTATTTTGTGAAGAAAATGACCGGTTCTGACTTCTGAACCTATTTATTCCAGCTTGGGGCTTGTTGTTGAACAGCAGTTGTCTATATAGTAATATACTATGTGTCATGGTTATCAATTTTGGAATTATAATCATGTTTATCCTTCTAAACATCTTGGTGTCTTGGAGTCCAAGTTTTATCTACAATAGTATTTTGATAATCATTTGTTGGAACCTTATATGTACACTGTTTGCTGAGGATTTTTTATAGCTTCGTTTTAATATTGCAGATCATATTGATATCAAGGTACATCAAGACAATGAAAGGAGTGCACAACCATCCGATATCAAATCAACATCATTGGCTAGTAGAGAGCCTTCCAACTCTTCAGGTTTGCTTTCCAAACATTTGCAAGCAATTTTTTAGTACCTAGAACTACTTATAGAATGTACAAGTTCTGCTTTGTTTGTTTTTTTTGGTTTCATCGCATTCATTCAAAAACTTTGTGAGGCGTATAACCAAGTGACCATATGCTTAAATGGAGATAAACATTTCCTTGAACTGAGGTTTTGTCACAACTTTTCTTGAATATGAAACTAAAGGTAAAAACATTTATACTTCCTCTCTGTAATATAAAATATTCTCCCTAGGAGTAATAGATTTCCACTGTTTCTCTTTTACTTTCTTAGACATGCAACATGTGTACAAGAACCAGCTACAACAGTATGCTCAGAAGAAAGGAATAGCTCTTCCTGAGTATTCTTGTGAAACCGAAGGACCACCTCATGATCGTCGATTTAGATCAAGGGTGACTTTTGATGGAAAATCATATGAATGTCGACAATTTTTCAATACACTGAAAGAAGCCGAACAAGCAGCGGCAAAGGTTGCAGTTGAGGCGGTATGCCCCGATGAAATTCAAAAGGTATTTTCCTAGCTTATGTATATAAAATAATATTCTCCATGTTATGTTATCTGCTTTAGCTATTGTTTTCACATTTCTGTTATTATATACAGTACTCAGTGCCATTTCAAATGTATCTCAGGGTGGAGGTCTATCCAAGACCCTTTTACAACAGCTTGCACACAAACTTGGGTTTCTTTTTCCGACCTATAAAACAGTTCAGTATGGTCCACCACACGGTGCTACTTTTATATCCTTTGTGCAAATTGGTGAGGAATCATATGAAGGACAATCAGCTAAGACTAAGAAGCAAGCTGAAATGAATGCTGCCGAGATTGCCTACAATACCTTGATCAATTGTAAGATCAGTTTATGTTTCAATTTATGCATCACTGTTTACTTTTTTAATTTTGTTCAGATAGTAGTTACTCTTTGATTCCTATCTTTGGTTCCTAGACTGAGGGTCTTCTCTCAAACATTCAATACTCTTCACTGGCAAAAAACGAAAAAAAAAAAAAACAGAAATACAAGTAGTATGTCAGGCAGGCATACATACATATATTGCATTTGTCAATCAAAGCACTCATGGTTCTTCCTTTCTATGCATAGGTCCAGATAAATGTACAAAGAGGCAGAAAACTTCAATCATACCTGGCACACATATCCCGCATCCGCCATCCACTCATAATTTCTCTTTCTGTCAATAGGTGCAGATGTCATTAGTTCAATGGTGAAGAAAACATCGGCTACACCGCATCCTCTCTCACTCAGCGATCAATGTTTTGTTCCAACACCGCCTGAGCGTTCTGTTGTTTCTGTTTTACCGTTTAATCAAAATAGGAGTTCAACGATGGAATCTAATGTCAAGCAAACTGATGAATTTTTTGTTTCACAGTCCAAGTCCAATTCAAGTTATGCTACTGTTTCTGGTCATGCTCCTGTCTTGCCTTGTAATGTTCAGGATTTACATGATAGCTCATCGTCCAGTCCGTTGACAGTCCAACATTTAAGTAGTTTCATTGAGAAGTTTAGTTCCATTGACAGAGCAACTAGTGCAAGTAACATGGTTTTGGTCTACCCGCGTGGTTCACAAGCAGTACTCCCTGCTCGTGCTTCCATGTTATCATGCAGTGATGACAAATGGGTGGCTGTTCAAGTAGATCTGAATGGTAATTAAGGGAACACTTATTTCTATGATAGCATATTGTGCTCTTTTCCCTGAAAACATTTGTATTCAGCAATGTTGTTTTGTGTCTTTTTATGTATTGAATATTTGTGTGTGTTCACTAAATAGTGTTCATGTTTTTTATATGTAGTTATTGATAGTCTCATATTCATGCTTTGTTTAGGTTACTTAGTAATTTTAGTGTTCATGTTTTGGAAATTTTCTTCTTCACACTATACTTCTTTAAGCTATATTTGGGAATTGAATTTGGAGGGGATGTGAGGGGAATGGAAGGTTTATGATCCTCTTGGCCACTTTGGTTACTAACACAAGTTTGTAGCATTCAAATGAGACCAAGTTTCATTTCCTTCCTCTCCCTTCCAATCCTTTTACATTCTACCCCTCTTTAAGTCTTCCTCTTTACCTCTCAAACTCAAACAAAGTTTAAGAATGTTTTTACTTCGATTGATTTCAGTCTCAAACTTAAACAAATTAGATCAGATTAGGTAGACAAGACTTTGACAATTATAAAACACATATAGATCAAACATCTATCAAGTTAGACTTAAACAGACTTGACATGATTATATCAAACTAAAAAAATCTATTAGAAAAAACACCCTTAAATTACAACTATATCTTACATTTCTTGTATTACATTTTTATGAACTACCATCATACATTTAACTACTCTAGTTTTTTGTGTTTATTTCTTTCTATATAGAGTTTTATTTTGTTTTCATTACACATTTCTACAACTTTTGTCCATATTAAGTTCATGTTTTGACTTATTGGGTCAAATTTTGTTACCTTTAGCCGTCTATTATTAAGTAATAATCTGAGCAATAGGATTATAGTTATTTAAGGGATAATCGCTATATGTAATTTAGAGTAATGTTTCAGAATTAAATCAAAAGCATAAATAAGAAGAATAAATGAGTACTGGTATTATTCTACAAAAGGTAGAAGGTATCAATTTTTGTGGTTCACATTATTTCTTACACAATTTTCTCTCCTTTACACAACTCTCCACCACACAATTTTCAGTTTTTAATTCTCTGTAAAACTCTCCATTTGGAAGATAATTCAAGGACGGTGTACTATATTTTCAGTCTTGTGGAATTGAAGATTAAATAACATTAAGCATAACTTTCTAAATCACAACGTTCAAAAATTATACAAAGTGAATTTCGTTCAAAACTAATAAACAGTTATTACTTGTTTTTGTTATTTATCAATGTAGACAGATACTCCCTTCGTCCCATTAACAACGGTACAAGGAGCGACACACATACCAATAAAAATGAGTTTATGTGATTAATATTGAATTGATAAAGTAAGAATGATTTAAAATCACATAAATTTTACTAAATTTAATATGAGACAATCATAGTGAGACGGGTCGCAAAGGAAAATTGGGACAATCTTAGCAAACGAATGGAGTACATAATTAGGAATATTGTAATTTGTGAAAACTGAAAAGTGACCTTTATTACTTGTGAAAAGTGACCTTTATTGAACATTGTAATTTGTGAAAGGTGACCTTTATTACTTGTTTTTTGTGATTTACAAAATTCCTACATATAATCCCTCACAATTCCAATAACTCTCCTCAAACACATTTGAGGAGAGTTAAGATATTTCTACTTAAATTTATTTCAATTTCAAACCAGACTAGACCAGATCAGACTAGATCAAACCAGATCAGATTTCAACAGTTGTAAATTACACGGAGACCACCAGACTAGAAAATTCTAGACCAATTAAAAACATTCTTACGCTTAGCGCTCTAAATGAAAAGGGCCTTTTAAGTTGTCATCAACATAACTAATTTTACAAGTTGGCCTGTGATAATTCGACATCTTCAATAATTATAATTATAATTATAATTAACAATAATGATAATGAAAATAAAAGCATATACAACATCCCACAACTCATAGAGAGGCATATCTAACCCTATTTGAAGGTTTGGTAACCAACATAACTAGAAATTCTCTATAGTCACCAGGAGGAATACTTTCACAAATAGCATCCTTCAACTCCAAATCATATTTATCCTTGAACACCATTTGAATCTTGTCCAAGTCCACCTCAGACCTGGTTACTATAATTCTAACCAAATCTCCTTTGCCCACTCTTTTCCCTTTTAGACATGCATGCATCACCTGAAGATTAAGCAATGTTTGTTTATAATTTGGCGCCGGTATCATTTTTCGCTTTCAGAAACACTTCAGGAATGAGAGACGAGTCTATGCAGGTGAATAAGAAATGATGCTAACGTTCAAATGTGATTTTAAAATTGTTGTCACAACAGATAAACATAAATATTGGAACATTTTGTTTAGAAACAATATTAAAATAACGTTCAAATTTTGAAAGTTAATGATAGATAACTTGCATAATAATGAGTTTAATAAGAAATACCAATCCTCAAAATAATACTACTTAGGACATAACTAAGAGAGAGAAATGTGGTTACGCCACTAATAGGCAGACTGGGAGACAAATGTGCATGGCCCTCTGGTGCACACGGGTAAAGGCCTACTGCCGTTTTGCTGACTGAGTCACCGTGATTAACCTCCCCACCATCTTGTCGGGTCGGGTGGGGGGGCTTGGGGTTGGGCATCAACCTTTTTGGACGGAGACAAATGTGCATGACGTGCAGCAAAGAACATAGTAGTTAAATATGACTTATTGTAAGGAGGATAACTTTGGTTCATTTTGATGCAAACAATTTCCAATTTTTAAATCCTCTAATTGTGGAGGATGGGTTAGTACTTAGTACCGCTCTCCTACATTTTTTGAAGACACCCACATTACCTACATTATCTATTTGTTATCCCAAAATAATCCAAATTTTCGTGATTTTCAACAATCGCGTTATTATTTTTAAAATAAATCTAAGACGAGTAAACTATAACTTTTCTTGGCCATCATCTCCAAATAATGTGATTTTTAGTGGGTCAGATAACTTTTATTAGCACTTTCTTAAACAATCACTTCATCTAATTATTACAATTATATTCTCACCAAATGATCTCTCTCATTCATCCATGATCTGATCCCAACAGGACATTTCACCTCACCCACTTCATCTACTCATAGTTTATGGACGTGAATGCTCTTATGTAGTTATGTGTGTTTAACAGGCAACACAAAAATGCAAGGCAAGGAGTAAACTGTACAAGGCAGAGTCAAATGCATGTTATAAATCACCTGTGAGAAATATTTGGAGGGACTATATATGCACTTCACTGTAATGATCAATGCATCTTCAAACTCTCCCAATCTTCCATGTTTGAGAGACTGAAACATAATTAAGAAACCAAGCTAAACAAACTATCAAAACTACTATCACTATAAGGTTGTTTACAATCAGATTAAATAAGCAATATTTGTTTCTAAAATCAAGATAAATATATGAAAAATTATGATGTATGATGAGGGAGGATAACATACAATTGTTAAACATTAACTTATGAGCTTCCGGTTTGACTGGTTTGAATATCTTCAGGGTTACCAGATAAGGGTAATATGACTATATGAGTAATGTAGATTACTTCCATGTAGATTTGGTGGGGATACAGTATTTCAAATATTGTATCCCCACCAAATATTTGGTAACCCTGAAGATAATTGGTAGTCATGATAGGGCGCATTTTGTAATGTCACTCAGGGACCCCAATAACATTAGAGGTAATCTGATTACCTTGTGTTTCCTAGGCAATGTAAGGTTAACTTGGTCCTTAAACTATTTCTATTTCGTCTCTAACAACTAAACGATTTATTAAATCTGTTATACATATTAGAATACGATATTAAATTGCGGTGGGTGATCACGATATTAACTATTCCATTCTTACTTTTCGTCAACCAAACAATCTTGATGTTTGGAGTGACTAAGTGACACTTAAATTTTCTTTCATTTTAAGAATGTAGGTAAGTTTGGAAGAGAATGAAGTACTTCTTTGATAGTTAAAAGAATTGGATGAATCCAAACGAAATAAATGAACTGACTCTGGTATAAGTGTGGCCATAAATGTGCTTATAGCAAGAAAATGTGAGCTTCAGTTGTGGAACACTTCTCTTGCTGAAAATCTCCAGCACAACTGCTTCATCAATGGCTCCCCCTGACTTTCCCTCCCCTGTTTGGTACAGCCTCATAGCATCACATTTGGCTGTGTGTTGGCTAACATCACAATCATGTGCTTTGTGTGATGCAGACAAAGCCATCAATATCTACCAACAACAAAAAGACAGAGAATGTTATTATTATATATTAATTAACTATTCAAGTTTACTTTTATATTTAAACTTATTGGTATCTCCCTATTTATTTACTTGCCACATATATTTAGAAATATTTTATTAATTACGACATTTTACTATCTTGATAAGCTTTCCATTTAAAAATGAGGTCTCTTAAAACTTATGGAGAAAATGCGACTAATGTTACTATAAATATATTTCAAGTTCACTACAATGTGAATTTAAGCATACTAAAATTAATATTGAAAAAATTGCACTTTTGGCCCCTCAATTAGTCATCATATTGAAATGTCAGACCCGTATTTCTCAGATTGTAAATATCACCCCCAAATTGACAAATGTGTAGTAAATGTCATACTCGGTGAATGTATTCATAGTCCATAATTGAAGATGGATTATAAATGGCGGGAAAGACATTTATAACACATCTATCAGTTAAGGGGTGACATTTACAATTTCAGAAACGCGGATTTGACATTTCAATATGGTGGCTAATTAAGGGACCAAAAATGTGATTTTCCCATTAATATTATTGTCACCAAAGTATAAATAGTCACACTTTTATTAACTATCTTAATTTTTATCATATATGGGTCATTGTTTCTTTAAAAATGCCTAAACACTACTCTCTATGTTCTAGTTTTTCATCTCCTCTCGTGCTTTTTAGCCTTTCATCTCCTACTTTTTACATCTTTCACAAACTATTCAATGCCCACTTTTTCACTCTTATAAACGATAAAAAACTATAGGTGCATCTAAATAAATAAATAAATAAATAAATAAATAATTACAGTCAGCAAAATGGCAGTAGGCCTTTACCCGTGTGCACCAGAGTGTCATGCACATTTGTCTCCCAGTCTGCCTATTAGTGCCGTAACCACATTTCTCTCTCTTAGTTATATCCTAAGTAGTATTATTTTGAGGATTGGTATTTCTTATTAAACTCATTATTATGCAAG